TCAAACAGGTGCCATTGATACAGGTAATGGGTGCAGGACAGATGAGCCTCTTAAAGAAGAAGGTACAGGTCTGTGAGAGCCAGAAATCTTGCTTGTTTGTAGGTGACCAAATACTTATTTTCCACCATAATTTGCAAATAAATTCTTTCCAAATCAGCCAATGTGATTGTCTGGATTTTTTTTCTCATTTTGTCTCTCATAGTTGAGGTCTACCTATGATGCCAATTACAGGCCTCTCTCATCTTTTTAAATGGGAGAACTTTAACAATTGGTGGCTGACTAAATACTTTTTTGCCCCACTGTGTATATATATATATATATATATATATATATATAAAAAATGTAAAACATTTTTTTTTAATTATAATTATTATTATTATTATTACTACGAGTTTATATAGCGCCAAAGGGTTTGCTCAGCGCTGTACAATAGGGGGGGACAATAAAATACCTTTTGGCCAAGATTTATGAAGAAAGATTTATTTGCAAAATTTTATAAGAAACACTTTTTTTCCCAAATTTTTGGTCTTTTTCATTTATATAGCAAAAAAATTAAAAATCCCAGTGGTGAATAAATACCACCAAAATAAAGTTTTATCTATCTCAAAGAAATGCAAAAAATTTCATATGGGTACAGTGTTGCATGACCGCACAATTGTCATTCAAAGTGTGATAGCACTGAAAGTTGAAAACTGGCCTGGACTGGAAGGGGGTGAAAGTGTCCGGACTTGAAGTGGTTTATAAACCTTTTTTACTTTTCTATCTTAGTCTACTTTTTTGAGCTCCTCTATACTAGGACCAATATAGAAGGTTTTGGATCATCAACAGGGCAAGGTATATTCCGCATACTGATACATTACAGTTAAGCTGGCTATAACCAGCAGAATTCTGTTTGAACATTATTATGGAATTAAAAAAAAAAAAAAAAATCTCTCCTCTTTCCTGTCTTAACCTGGCCACCATTGTCTAGAACAGTTCACTCTCATCCTCACTGAAAGCACTTGCTCCTCTAAAGACACGAAGAGTCAGGCCCAGACCGTTACAACCTTGGCAAACTGACAACACCAGAAACCTCAAGAGACACTGCCGTGCTCTTGAACGACTGTGGCATAAAACCTTCCCTTCAAGGATTTCACCTTATATAATTCTGCCCTCCTAAAATACAATTCCGCCTCCATGCTGTCAAAGAAACCTACTTTGTCTCTCCTATTAATATCTTGACATCCAGTCCTTGTCGGCTCCTCGCTACCTTTAACTCTCTGCTTTGTCCCCCACCCCCTTTAACCATTAACTCACTCACTGCCCAAGAGATTGCCAATCATTTCAAAGACCAGATTGAAGCAATATGTGAAGGCACATCCACTATACAGATATCTTCTCATCTTCCCCACTTAAATTACGTTATCTAACAGCACAGCCAACACTTTCCTCTTTTGAACTGGCTGCTACGGAGTTTGTTACCAAACGTTTCTCAGATGCCCACCTAATCAACTGTCCCCTGGATCCTGTTCCCTCGCAACTACTATGATCTCCCTCTCCTTCTACCCTATGCTCTCTAACTCACATCTTCAATCTCTTCCTATCTATTGGCACCTTCCTCTCCCCCCTAAAGCATGCACAGATCACTCCCATACTTAAAAAGCCCTCACTGGACTGCACCAACCTGAACAAGTTAAAGTGGTAATAAACCGAAAAAAAATCAAAATTGAAATGACCAGTCTACCTCACACAGCATAACAGCTAATGTCATATTTTCCGTAGTCTGGTCAAGAAAGGAGCAGCCAGTCAATTCTCTTTGCTTTCCTATGGTAAGAAAAACCCCCCAAAAAAGTGTCACAACACCCCCCTCTCCTGTGACTGACAGACTAACTAGGAGTCTCATGCATGAGCATGAGAGAAGGGGGCATGTGTCCCGCAGCCATCCACACAGGTCACTCCCAAAATAGCCTAGCTTGGGAATTACTCAGCAGACCATGCCAACACTATGTGCTTATCTCTATTAAGAGAGGAGGATGGGGGATGCATGCTTTCACAGGTCATCATTATCAATGGGGGGGGGGGGGCAAACTAACAGCCTCACACAGATTTATCTCCACAGCTGACAGGGAGAAAGCCGAGCAGCAGGATCACAATTAACCCCTCAATGACAGGCCACTTTAACTGTGTAACTATCAGGTGTTACTTGAAAGTAGGGCACTACAGTAAAAGTGCCCAACCATTGAGGGGTTAATCGTGATCCTTCTGCTTGGCTCCCTCCCCAGAGCTGTGGGGTTAAATCTGTGTGAGGTTGTTTGGCTCCCGATGACCAGTGAAAGCATGTATGCCCCCTCCTCCTCCCTTAGTAGAGATAAGCACATAGTGTCGACGGGGTCCCGCTGAGTAATTCCCAACAGTTGCTCAGCTCCCTCCAGCCTATGAAAGTCTGCAGTCTCCGATGCCTCAAATGCTGCACAGTGTTATGGGGATAATTGTTTTCTCAGTCTCCTCAGGCTGGAGCTGACTCCTAATTAGTCTGTCACAGAAGAGGGGGTGTGTGCGACACAGAAATGTTTTTCACGTGTCGGGTTTTTTTCACAATTTGCCCCTTTTTAACCAGTGAAACCACCAAGCTACTCAGTCACTCCCTTGCTATCTCTCGCCTTGACTATTGCAACTCCCTTCTCATGGGCCCACCTCTACTTAGACTCTCCCCTCTTCAGTCTATCATGAATGCTGCTGCCAGAATCATCTACATTACCAGCCACTCAGTGTCTGCCACCACTCTCTGCCAGTCCCTTCCCTGGCTTCCAATTGCCCAGCAAATTAAATTCAAATTACTAACAATAGCATACAAAGCTATTCACAACCCTGCCCTACATCACCAGTCTCCAAACGTCACCCAAACCATCCTTTACGCTCCTCTCATGACCTCCTGCTCTCAAGCTTCCTTGTCTCCTTCTACCATGCTCGTCTCCAGGACTTCACTAGAGCCTTCTCATCCTCTGGAACACTCTACCTCAATCTGTTCTGCTATCCCCTACGCCTTTGGGCAATCCCTGAAAACTGATCTCTTCAGGGAAGCTGATCACACCTCCAACTAGACATTTATCAGTTTCATCAGCTCACCCCCTCCCCCCCAGTTATAACCCTTTGTATCACTTGTCTCACCCTATTAGATTGTAATCTCTCATGAGCAGGGCCCTCTCAATCCTCTTGTTTTTTTATTGTATTGTAACTGTACTGTCTCCCTTTATATTTTAAATAGCTGCACAAACTGTTGGCTCTATATAAATCCTGTATAATAATAATAATAATCTTGCCATCATTGTGTCAACTAAATATATTCAAAAGAGCTTGAATTGAACCCCAAATGTATTAAACAGGCTTGTTTACTACCTTGTATGATTTTTCGCAAGCAAAAACCACATTTACAGTTAGAATTTTAATCTTCAAGAAAAATTTTCCCTGCCTCTTCAAAATTTTTCTCAACATTGTGGTTGAAAATGATCGTAGATATGCTCCTACTAGCCATTAGAAAATCAAATGAATGTTCCAAAAATTTAATTTTTTAATACTAAATTCTACTGGTGTATGCCTAGCTTTACCATTGGTTGAGTAGAGACAGCTGACATTGCTATCTGTGCAGGTATTATTGACTTAACTGAAGAACCAATAATAGGCCCCCAGCTTTACATACAGGTACCTCACCATGGGATTAGAATACTACCAAGCTCTCACCCCTTTACAGTTTTTTCTCCTTATATTACAGATCAGTCACTCTTGATATTAACTTTCATTTGCTGCATGGCCACTTAGTAAAAAAACATATCACAGGTAACTATGATAGCTGAAAAGAAATATGTTCTCATGGAAAATACTGAAAAGTGGATACACATTTCCCTAGCTATTAAAAAAAAAGGCACTGTTACAAGGCAACACTTAAAAAGGTTGCATGGCTTGCAAACATTGTGCAATGTATGTCAGCCTTAGAGCAATGCAAGACGCTAGTAAACTCTGCACTAATGTAATGTAGTAGCCTTACAGCAGTGTTGCACTAGTGATCCTGTAGTGGTGCAAACTCATCAGCATCCAGATTAGTAAGAGTAGAGAGAACACTCACAAAGCTCCTATAGTGTTACTCCCACCCTGCAGTAAGGTGCCCATCAGTCACTGCTTCCTCACAGAAGTGTGAGACTCTGCAGCATTTTGGGCCAGTGAGGGAGAGATGCCATAGAAGCAGGTGAGTACTTTCTTTAATGATCCTGTAACTTCAAGCCAAAAGAAAAAATTTAATTTCAGCCAATCTGCAAAGAAGTTAATTTTTACACAGAGTTTCACAGCTGTTATCCAAGGATTGCTAAGGCATCTGTGACATGAGAAAGAAGCCAATAAAAAGCTCACTACAGCCTCTATGCACAGATGTTGTAAGGATAGCAAGCAGAATGGCATGAATAACTTTAACTAGACAGCAAATACTACTACTACAATACCAACCATACAGATAAGTATCTAAAGCTCTACATAGATATGAAATCTTTAACAGATATGCTTGTGAATATTATAACTTCCTACATATGCTGCACCTTGAGGATACAACAGTCATTTTATCAAAATGTCCCTTCAATACAATACCTTAACTGATCCAAAAGATGTTTGCCGTAAGGCATATGTACAACTGGTGACATAAGCACAATGAAGGATGTGATAAACCTCACTATTGTGTTATTTATTTATTTCTCCATAGGTTAGAGAGCTACACACATCAAAGGCCCAAAAATAATAGTTATAGGTGGGAATCCTCTTAACGATAATAGCACATAGACTGTTTTTCAGTTTGAGCATTTTTTTTTTTTAAGGTTATCTGCTGAGCACATTCTCTTTACAGGTTTCTACTGGTGCTTTTACAGCTCTCTGTGATAAAAGAAGCACATTACCCTTGGTCTTTAACTCATACCCTATGATTAATTCCTCTTATCACTTAATAAACAAAAATTTAAGACTGAACTTGAAAACAACCGTACCCGTCGTATGCTCCACTGACTATTCTCTTGTTGTCAAAACGGATGCATCGTACCAGTTCTTCGTGTCCCTCCAGAACTCGTAAACATGCTCCACACTCAATATCCCATAGCCTGAAAGATAAGGAAATCTCCACATGAAATATAAAGGGCCATCCCAAAGTCTTCTATATCACCTGAAATGTCAGATAATCCAAAACTAATATTGTAGATAAGGTAGTGCCAACGTAGATAACCCACCAGCCCAGTTTACCAAAGTTATGAATGGATTTAACCCTCATTGTTGGCTCACTGCTAAAGCCATCAAGATCAAAAAGAAGACAGAGTGTGACTCAACATAGTAGTGCCCATTCATAACTGAAATAAGAGTACAAGGAAAATGAACATTAAAATATTTTTAGATAAAATAAGTGTCCTTTTGGGCTAAAAAGCCCTCTTCCACATCCATTGTCCTTTGTAATCAACAGTGAAATATTGACCCAATGCATATATATGCGAACAGAAAGTCCATAGGTGCTGAAATAACCAATAGCTGTGTGTAGAAAGCATCTTCGAAAAGACAATCTTAAAGAGAGTGGACAGAAGCAGCAGAAGACCATGCTGGGATCCAAACCTGCCAGCTAGGAACAGAAAAATAAGGCTATATTGTGCATGGTCTGACAAATCTTGTTTTTGCTGAAAAAAAGCAGATGTTAATATCAGAATGCGCTCTTGTTTTGTTTACAGAGCCTCACTATATCTGACTGCAACACCTGCAAATTACTCTATAGAAGTGCACCAGAGAAACTATAATGCTGCACCTACCTGTCATGGACAAACAGATTTCAAAGAGAACTCATGTGAATAGTGACCATTGGGGCTCCCTCTAATGCCCATTATTGTTGCTCCATATATGTACATACACTCCTGCCATGGAGTCACCTACAAAATATGCAGTCTGTCCTAGGAAATAATCGCATATATATTGGATTATATTGGGCCTGCAGGCACAGCTGTCTGCTTCGCCTCTGTTCATTGCTATATTGCACCTTTAATGACCTCACTTGGTTAACTCCAGCTTCAAAATGACAGATATTGCTTGCACTGATAGAATTGTTTAATATGATGCTACAGCATAAATGGCCTCAATCCTAAGCCAAAGTGCTAAAACAGTCAAGCATCCTCGCTGGGCATCTGGCCGCTCTGGAAAGTATCCTATCCTAGCCGATCCCTCACTCAGCATGAGTAGGTAAGACGTCCTTTCTACCTTGCTTGAATTTACACACTACTTGGATCCACAGAAAAAAAATTCCCAGCTTAGGCACTGAATGCAAGTACAAGAAAGGTTTTATTCCTATATGCCAATCAAAAGCGCAACGTGTCTTGAAAAAGCATTCATACCCCTTGAAATTTTCCACATTTTGTCATGTTACAACCAAAAACATAAATGTATTTTATTGTGATTTTATAAGATAGACTAACACAAGTGGCACATAATTGTGAAGTGGAAGGAAAATGATAAATGGTTTTAAAACATTTTTTACAAATAAATATCTGAAAAATGTGGCGTGCATTTGTACTTAGCCCCTTTACTCTGATACCACTAATTAAAATCTAGTGGAACCAATTGCCTTCAGAAGTCACCTAATTAGTAAAGGGAGTCCACCTGTGTGTAATTTAATCTCAGTATAAATACAGCTGTTCTGTGAAGCCCTCGGAGCTTTGTTAGAAGACATTAGTGAACAAACAGCATTATGAAGGCCAAGGAACACACCAGACAGGTCAGTGATAAAAGTTGTGGATAAGTTTAAAGCAGGGTTAGGTTACATCTCACGGAGCACTGTTCAATCCATCATAAGAAAATGGAAAGAGTATGGCACAACTGAAAACCTACCAAGACATGGCTGTCCACCTAAACTGACAAGCCGAGCAAGGAGAGCATTAATCAGAGAAGCAGACAAGAGGTCCATGGTAACTCTGGAAAAGCTGCAGAGATTCACAGCTCAGGTGGGAGAATCTGTCCACAGGACAACGATTAGTCGTGCACTCCACAAATCTGGCCTTGTGGCACGAAGAAAGTCATACCAAGTCCCAATTGCAGTTTGCAAGAAGCCATGTAGGGGACACAGCAAACATGTGGAAGAAGGTGCTCTGGTCAGATGAGACCAACATTGAACTTTTTGGCCTAAAAGCAAAACGCTATGTGTGGCGGAAAACTAACACTGCACATCACCCTGAACACACCATCCCCATCTTGAAACATGGTGGCAGCAGCATCAAGTTGTGGGGATGCTTTTCTTCAGCAGGGACAGGGAAGCTGGTCAGTGTTGATGGAAAGATGGATCGAGCCAAAAACAGGGCAATCTTAGAAGAAAACCTTATTCGACTCTGCAAAAAACTTGAGACTGGGGTGGATGTTCACCTTCCAGCAGGACAACAACCTTAAATATACAGCCAGAGCTACAATGGAATGGTTGAGATCAAAGCATACTCGTGTGTTAGAATGGCCCAGTCAAAGTCCAGACCTAAATCCAACTGAGAATCTGTGGAAAGACTTGAAAAATGATGTTCACGGATGCTCTCCATCCAATCTGACAGAGCTTGAGCTATTTTTTTAAAGAAGAATGGGCAAAAATTTCACTCTAGGTGTGCAAAGCTGGTAGAGACATCCCCAAAAAGACTTTCAGCTGTAATTGCAGCGAAAGGTGGTTCTACAAAGTATTAACTCAGGGAGGCTGAATACAAATGCATGCCACACTTTTCAGATGCTTATTTGTAAAAAATGTTGAAAACCATTTATCATTTTCCTTCCACTTCACAATTATGTGCCACTTTGTGTTGGTCTATCACATAAAAACCCAATAAAATAAATTTACGTTTTTGGTTGTAACATGACAAAATGTGGAAGAATTCTAGGGGTATTAATACATTTTCAATGCACTGTACTAAACTAGGTACATTTTTTTTTAAAAAGCTATTATTCAACAAGAACCCCAGGTGTGGGTCACCTATTTTTCAGTATCCCCTAACATGTCTACATTTATTACTAGTACTCTTTAACTATGTATGTTTCCTGAAAATATATTATGTTTTAAAATTACTAAAATACTTGGTCAGTTTTGTTTCATATATGATGTGTTAATCAATGACAATTTAAATATTAGCACAGAGACACTCTGATCAAGAATAACCTATAGGGAGAACCCTTGGGTATGAGCCACTAGCACCAGTGCTATCCTTTCAGATATTCAGAAGAGCTTGCTACTCAACCATTGTTAACCCCTACACAATCCAACATGGGATACTAAAATTTGTCAGATCACGTGCCCTCTTTGGGGCAAGTGATCTGACAAATTCATGACAAATGCATGGTCACACTAAGACAAGGTCAGAGCCAATTACGCAATTTGTATTATTTTCGAAAAAATAATGCTTTCTGATCTGCTATATCTTCCTATGCGTCTGTACACAAATATATAGTAGTTACAGAAACTCACTGCTTATCCAAAGCTATTATAAAGTTGTTTTATTCTCTCTTTTGTTCTGTGGCGCTGTTTATCTCTGGATATCCATGCAGATTTTCCCATTCATCATCCAGCACAATCAACTGCCTCACTGTTCATTATTGACTGTGTAGTTTCTCTTCGCTTAGATATTGAGTATGAAATAACAGCTCCCTCAAGAAATGTATTGGCTGCTTCCCAGTAAAGATTCAAACTTTTTTCCTGCTGTGTTATTAATAATTGGACATAACTCCCACTGTTGACAAAAGTAGGATATAAAATCTTTATTCTTCAGCAACATGGGATTAAAAGGCCCAGAAAGAAAGCTGCTAGATGGAACTGTGACAGCTATAAAAAACGGTGTCTAGAGCAAAGAAGGTAACGTATCGAGTGTACAGATAAATAAGCCAAATACTAAATAATCTTATTATCAAAGCATTTTAGAGGGTTATCAATCAAGTAACTCTGTACAGATATATTGTTGAACTTTCAAGATGTGGGTATCTAAGAAAGTCTGGAAAGGTTTCCACTTCCAGCCCAAAACTTGAAAGCTCCTTCTTATAACTACAGTTTATGTCTAAACAAAATAAAAGCATACTTTATGCAGTACATTTCTGAAATTCACATACATTTTCCCCTTGCTGTATCTCCAAAAAATACTGCAACAAAAAAAAAAAAAAAACACAAAAAAAAAAAAACACAACTTACTGATCCTAACAAACATCTACTGACCCAACTTCATGCATTGAGCTGACAAATCTGCCTCTGCTGCAATAAAATCCCAAGAAGTGTCCTTTGTCCTGCCTGAGCTTTCCCCTTCTGGACTACAGAACACCCACCCCTCCTAAGTAAAGTTTGTCTGTAGTCCAGCAGGTGAGAAAGTAGGTAGGGTTGACAATACTTCTTAGGATTTCAGTGCAGCAGAGGCAGATCACTACAGGAAGTTAGAAGCTTACTAGTTTTTTTTGCAGTGTTTTTCAGAGAGACAAAATATAGGGAATGTGCTTGTACTGAAGAGATGTACCACATATTTTTTTATTTTTTACATTTAGTTCAGATATATACTCCTGCAAATTTTTCCTCCAGCTCTTCACCTGTACCTCTGTACTGGATTTCAGTTTGAGTGCTGAAGGAAAAAGGACGAGTGTGCTGATTACCTGTTATACCCTAAATACGGTTGTTGTAACACACTGTTAAAAAAAAAAAAAAAAAGCATGGTGATAATGTGATTTTCAGATACAATACTCTAAAGCCAGCCATAAACAGGCTGAAATTCACCTGGTCTCTGCTGAATTTTGATCTATGTACGGACACTGAGGTTTTACAGAAGTTGACCAATGGATTGACTTCTGTACAGCTGCCCTGTTAGGTTCTTCCCAGCTTGCAATAACCTACAACACTGATCAATGTATTCTGACCATCCACATCCAGTGTGTGAATTGGGGAATCGAGTCAGTTTCTTTCAATTCAACCCATTGGTTGAATAAAAAAAAAACCTGACTCATCTATAGGTTAAGGTTTGTACTTTGGTCTAAATACAGATAGATTTCCAGATTTTGATTTTGCCTGCATTGAATGCTCACTGTCAAGAGGGATACTGTCTGGAAATGTTAAATCTTTAAAGAAAATCTGTATTGTGAACAAAGCAAATAGAACATGTAGATGCATTTTGCGATCTTAACAGTACACTTTTTTTTAAAACAATACCATGCTTTGCAGGGTTGGTTCTTATGCTTGCCCATCTATGTGCTTTCTGTCTGTTCTCTGACTTTGCATATTACACAGCTTGCAAAACACATATGTACCACCTACATCTTGTACCAGAACTGCTTTATGTGTGACCTCCTTCACCTATGTTAGAAAACATCATCTAAAAACGAAACCTCATTCCTTGCTGAGGCACAAAAAAAACTATATGACTGCACTTCCTAGACAATAATTAGTTAGATAACATTTACCTTATGGTATTATCTGAAGAGCCACTGACCACTAGTCTGTCCCGATACTGTAGACAGGCAATGCCACGTTTGTGCCCATTTAATGTACGCACAAATTCACATGTACTCGTGTTCCATACCTGGTGACACAAACAGGAATAAAGACCAAATTTTATATACACAGAAAAAAAGTTACAAATCTAATTGTATTTTTAATCCTAAATCTACACAATAAAAGCATCTACATTTGAGCACACGCTAGTAGTATGAATAACCAGTCAGTCTCTCAAATAGTCACATATACTGTTAGTCTAGCAGGGTTGTCATTACATCACCACTCTTTCTTACAGTGGCCTTTCACAGTTGTGAAGTTACTCTCTACCTTCAAACAAATACATAAAGACATTTCTGCTAAAGACTCCGAACGGACTAGGCTTTAAAGTAGAACTATAGGAAAAAATGTTTTCTTCATATTTGACAGAGCAAAAGAGCGGGATAACCCGTCACATTTAGTTTGCCATCTCTGCGCCATTGTAGAGACTTCACTTCCTGTCCCATAGCAAACAGCAAGTGAGAGAAAATCACTACAAATAAAGGGAATTCTTTGGGCACCAGAACTAGGGTCCCCATGGGAAGATTTTCCCTCTATAAACTTCTCTTGGGACAACCCAAAATTTGGAATTTTCTTTTACTTCCACCTTCAATGATAATGGTCAACAGGACAAATTGAGGGGACGAATCTCCTTACCGGGGGGCACAGACAGCATTAAAAACTGACAAGCTTTCTAATCTCTCTCCACTCTATTAAAAACTAAAAAAAAGTGTTGCCTATCGTTACACTTCAACTTGCCTTTGAAGCCCCTACTGGGTACTGCTGCTACTGAATCATGCACTTTTTAAAAGGACACCATTACAAAGGAAATATGTAAAATAGCATTGCTTCTCACAAATATGCTAGCTGCCTATTTGGCGTGCTCATCCCCTGGCTCCAACACTTTGAATCAGAAGTCGGAAACAAGAATAGGGCATGTGAAAATCTGTGTCAATTTCTCTGAAGCCATCAAAGCACCAAAGCCAGATAATTAGATTTAGAAAGATATTTGTTTGATTTGCTCTCTCAAATGTGGCACATCTCTATTGATAAGTCAATGAAAACAACAATTGTAGGAAGCAGGACTTTTGAGGCACCACAAGGATTGAAATTCTATTTTAGAAGAACAATATGACTTTATACAATCAAAATCTAAAATGACAATGACATAAAATAGCTCTGAGATAACAAACAAGAGCAAAATAATAATGAATGACCGCAAATTTATTGTATAAATATCACCCACTTTGCTAGAGCACATATACGTAATTTATGGGGGAAAACTCGTATCTCAGAGCTAGTTTATGTCATTTTTCTTTGAGATTTTGTATGAATAAAAAAATCATACTTTTCTTATGAAAGTAGAATTGTAATCTTTATAGTGCCTCAAAAGTCCTACAATTATTGTTTACAGTTCTAGAAAGAGATTAGCAATGGAATTCTATGCATTTCTCTCATTAATATTTTCTTTTTTTTTTTGCTTATTTAGGCCCCCTCCTCTTTGCTAAAATGTAGCACTAAACTGAAATAAATAACTGTGGTGGAAAACAGTTAATTCAAAAACTTGCCTTTCCTCTGCCTTCCAGTACTGCATTGGGGTGATGGCACAATCATTCTGACAAGCTCCCGAAGAATGCAGAGTAGCCCAAATCTCACAAAATGATGCTCCTGTACAATGCAGGAATGTCTTGTAATATTTGGACTACTCAACTTTCCCCAGGATCAGGAGACCAGTAGACATTACCTTTGCATAAGATCTTGTCATAGAAAAAGTATATTAATTAATCCCTTTCTCCTCCCATGCTTTTTTCTTATTACAGCATTTTAGCAAGGAGAGAAGGCCCACACTTTGATTTAGAGAGGGTGAGTCTCCCCAACAGGGACACAGCCAGCAAACAAAACCTCACACACTTTCAACACTACCACAGCATTTTTGGTTTACATTTCATTCTTAAATGTGAATAATAAATACCTTATATTCATGCACATATAGGTATTCTGCGTGGTGACTTATAAATAGAACTAGTCATATCAGTTCCTGTCACAAAGACCTTTATCATGCTGTCTATACCGCAGTGACGAGTGCAACCATGAAGGGTTAAAAAAACAACTTTTGGCATTTTTGGTTTGTGAGAATGGGAACACAAGGAGGAAAACAACACAAAAATGAGAAAACAAACTGCAAAAGAATTTCTGCCTTAATTGTAAAGTAAAGGCATTCAGGAAATATCACCTACTTTAATAGTTCGGTCACCGGAGGCAGAGACAATGTACTTGTCATCAAAGTCCACCACATTCACTGCAGCCCTATGGCCCACTAGAACCCTTCGCAAAGTGATATCTGTTGCAGAGGCCATGTCCCATACTGCAATGGAGCGATCCTTTGAGCAGGTGACCATCATACCGTTATTAAACCGCAAATGCAGCACAGCCTCGCAGTGATGAATTAATGTATTCAGCATCTCTCCTGTGTTTACATCCCAAACCCTGCAAAAGAAGGAATCATGAAAGGTCAGAGATGCAATGGAAAAATCAGAACAATTCTACTGTATGCCTAAAATAAAACCTTACATTCTCTGCCAGCTGTTAACTGATGCTATTATAGTTTTTTGTATCAGAGAATAATTAAAACCCGTTAGGTTTTATTTATTTGGTGTCTATGTCCTGGGGATACTTCCCTTCACTCCTGTTCTGGAGTTACAACAAGAACTAAGAAGAAATCACTTCAAACTGAAGGGATGCCTGTTCTTTACTCCAGGACAACTGCCATCAGTGGAAGATGTTCTTTTACTTCAATGGTCACCAAGACAAATAAAGCAGGTGAATCTATCCAACAGGAACACTAAGGGCAATAAAAACATGGCAGGGACTCTCTTTCCCACTCTAAAACTAGAAAAAAAAAGTTTATAAACTATTGATACACTTTATACTACTGCTCATCATTTCAAGAAATTAGTGATTCCTAGTATACCTATAGTGAAATATGATCAAATAGACAAGAATTCAGGTGAGTCCCAAATAGGGAAACAAACCTATAAATCCCAATATAACCAGTAAGAGAAAACCAGCAGTAGCACAGAATTGGTGAAAATGTGCATTTACTGCAATTCAACATAAGTGCTAAATTGTATAAAACATGTCATAAATCTATAAATTGGGGAAACAAAGTAAATACTGTAGCACCAATGTGGTAAATCATATATCTGAGTAAATAGATTACCCTCAATACCAGACAGGGAGGTACACGGGCAGACTGACAAGTCATGGGGCCCCCGGGGATCATGGGGCCCCTGTGTCCTTGCCCAAACTCAAAAAAGCCTATGAAAAAGGTACCAGGGGCATCTCATGGGGCCCCCTACTGACCCCGGGCCCTCGGGCAGTGCCCGAGTTCCCAAATGGTCAATCCTCCCCTGGGGAGGTACAATATCTCAAATGAATGTTACAGGAGGAAACCCCATTTTCAGCAGACACCTCTCTCCTGAGGAAGGGGCTTTGCCCCAAAACATTTTCCATGCCTCCCCTACCTGGTATGGCATTACCATATTGAGGGTTATCTGTTCATTCATATGATATAATTGATACACCCACCTCACTGGCACTATTTACTTAAGGTTTCCCCGAATTATTAATTTATGTCATATTTTGTACAACTTTGCTCCAATGCTGGATTGCATAAATGGTTCATATTCCGTGTGCTTCTCACTCTTTCCATTCTTCTCAGATACACAATATAACTAAATGTTTGTGGACACCTGACCATCACACTGCACCACATGGGCATATGCACACCCCTCCAAATTATTGAGTTCAAGTGTATCCCCTAAAGGATACTATTTATGCTACAGTATTCAAAGACATTTTAGACAACTGCATGATTCCAACCTTGTGGGAACAGTTTATCGAAGGGCCTTTTTTGTTCATTATATACATAAAGATATGGTTGGAGTTTGGTGTAGAGGAACTTCAGCAGCCTACATAAAGCCCTGATCACAACCCCACTAAACACCTTTGGGATGAATTGGAATGATGATTGTGAGCCAGGTCTTCTCATTCAAAATTAGTATCTGACCTCTCAAATGCTCAATGGACACAAATGCCCAAAGGCGCACTCCAAAATATTGTGAAAAGTCTTCCCAAAAGAGTGAAGGCTGTTTGGACCACAAAAAAGAGCTCCATATTAGGCCTGGTTCACATTCATGCAACTTAGATTTCATCCAATTTCCGATGCGATTATGTAGTGCAACTGCAGCATGGCTTGATGATGTTTTGACATAACTTTCATACTACTAAGATTTCTGGAAGAATAGGTGGAGGAGAATAGTTGGAATCAAATCAAACACAAGTGTAGATGCATTTCCATTGAAGCCTGGGGGGGGGGGGGGGGGGGGGGGGGCAGAAAAAATCACACTGCACTCACCAAAGTAGCACAGGACCCTTCCCCAAAGTTGCATTGCAGTTGTGTTGCACTGTCGTGAATGGCACCATTGCAATTAATGTGATTTCCATTGTCATGCGATTCACATTTGTTCAGTATGTGTTCAGTATGAACTAGGCCTTAATGCCCTTAGTATTAGAATTGCATGTCCAACAAGCCCATAAGTGTGATGGTTGGGTGTTCACAAACTTTTGGCTATAAAGTTTCTACCATATCAGAAGACAGCAGTCCAAAGAACACATCACACTGACAGCAAGTAACGTCCCTTGAACTGATTTTTTTACTTTTTTTTAATGAAACATAGGCTTAAAAACAACTCAATCCTAATAGTACAGCAGTATATGGAGTTAAATATTCTAAAATACAATAGTAAGCAAATGTAAGCTCTAATTGTTATATTAGAGGAGGGCAACAAGCAAGCCAGTATCAAAAATAGTCCAAAAATATTTTGTCTATCTCTGTCCCTCCACCACACCATGCTGACAACACAGCCTACAGAGCACAAGGCAGCTTTTATTGCTCTATGGAAGTGTTGCTTTTTTCCTTCAGGTTCAGACCTCTCCAAAATGTTAAAGAGGAATGGTCCTATTTTTTGGAAGTCTAAAACATGCCGGATTGTTGGTTGCATAAACAGTGTAGGCTTTATGACGGAAACAGTATAGGCTTTATGACGGTAACAGCTGTAGTGTTTCTAAATTTGCACTAGGGTTCTGTTATATGGCCAGTTTAAATGCAAATAGTGCTTAGTGGACTTATTCTTTAAATATTTTATGCCATGAAGTGTAGCAGAAGACAGCCCGAATGTATAGTTAATCCATTTATCTGAGGCCTGGAATAATCCACTCTTACTCTGACACACAGGTCTATATGAAAATTGGCTTTGTAACCTTCTGAAATGCGGCAGACATAATGTATTATGGGACAAGTGTATGAGTTTGTGGACGGTTTTTAAAATATGAAGAAAAACAGATTACTCACTACAGCTTATTGCTTTTGTGTCACTTATTTGAAATTTACTAGAAATCCACATTTTAAATTCAAGGAGCAGGCGGATTATTACTAGGAAATGTCTAAAGCTTACTCTGCTGACTAGTCATTTTTTCAGCAATCACACATCAGAGAAGCATTTCATCAAGAATAATGCCAATGTATTACATTACAGCTTTCCCTGAATACTCTGTGCTGTATAACAACCGCCAATTAGTTTCAAACCCCATTTAAAGGTAAACTCTAGACAAACATGAACATTTCGCCTGTTGATCTGCTGACTGTCTCCAATTTCACACAAGCTTTTATCTAATGTACCTGGCTACCCTGCTAGGTAAGTCCATAGAGTTGCCTATTTCCTTATATCTGAGCCAGTGAAATTGTACTGGTTCCAGTACTGCTCACCCTTTCGGCCTTCTACAGTTTGTACACAGAACACTGAAACGTGACAAGAAACCGCAGTCCCACCCGGAAGCAATGATGGAAGTTTGAAGAATTTGGTTACAAATCAATCATTAGATAGATTATAATGGAGATCTAACCAAAACGCTATGTTTTTTACTTTTAAAATAGGCTTTTTAACTTAAAATCTTTTTTTCTTTTTGTGAGCTCCATTCAACTTCTTGTCCTGATGACAACACACATTTCATAGTCCTGCAGAATGGGGTTGCACACAGAGCAATGAAAACCCAACTGAGAATATGACCTTTGCCCACCTTACTCAAATCTAAAGAAAAAGCTTGGACTGGAGTTCTGGAGGGATTACTTTTTTCAGAGTTTAAAATCAGGACAGTGTTCCCTAGGTAGTACTGGAACTTAGCTCAAGTATAGACACTGCTTTCGCTGACAGACCCTTCTATAAAATTCCAGTCCATATGCTGATTTAATGGCTCACTTTGTTTTATCCTATACGTGGTGCCGGGATAGGTTGCCACCTGTGCAATAAGTCCATCCATAAAGTCTATCTGTGAAATTTTCTTGCTACTAAATATTCAACACTCAATTCTTAGTAGTATTATAACAAAGTGGAAGCAACTGAGAACAACAGCAACTCAGCCACCAAGTGGTAGGCCACATAAAATTGGGGGGTCAGAGCATGCTGAGGCGTACACTGCGCAGAAGTCGCCAACTGTCTGCAGAGTTATTAGCGAAAGACCTCCAAACTTCATGTGGCCTTCAGATTAGAACAACAGTGTGTATAGAGCTTCATGGAATGGGTTTCCATGGCCGAGCAGCTGCATCCAAGCCTTACATCATCAAGTGCAATGAAAAGCATCAGATGCAGTGGTGTAAAGCACACCACCACTGGACTTTAGAGCAGTGGAGATGCGTTCTCTGGAGTGATGAATCAAATTTCTCTTTCTGACAATCTGATGGACATGTCTGGGTTTGGCGGTTGTCAGGAAAAGGGTACTTGCCTGACTGCATTGTGCCAAGTGTAAAAGTTTGGTGGAGGGGGGATTATGGTGTGGGTTTTTTTTCCAGGGGGTGGGCTTGGCCTCTTAGTTCCAGTGAAAGGAAGTCTTAAGGTGTCAGCATACCAACACATTTTGGACAATTTCATGTTCCCAACTTTGTGGGAACAGTTTGGGGATGGCCCCTTCCCGTTCCAACATGACTGCGCACCAGTGCACAAAGCAAGGTCCATAAAGACATGCACGAGCGAGTTTGGGGTGGAGGAACTTGACTGGCCTGCACAGAGTCCTGACCTCAACCCGATAGAACACCTTTGGAGACTGTGAGCCAGGCCTTCTCGTCTGTCATCGGTGCCTGACCTCACAAATACGCTTCTGGAAGAATAGTCATATATTAGGAGACACACTTCTAAACCTTGTGGACAGCCTTCCCAGAAGAGTCGAAGCTGTTATAGCTGCAAAGGGTGGGCCAACTCAATATTGAACCCTACGGACTAAGAATGGGATGCGTCCCAATACTTTTGGCAATATAGTGTATATGCGAATTGAATGTGTTTTGAAACAGAACCCGAATCGCATGACATGTGAACCAAAATTCTGTTCTATGGTTCACATATGTGCAGGCTGGCTGCAGTGCAATTAAAAAAAAA